GCAGGCCTACATACATCTACATAACGCAGAATATTTAACGGTGCAAGAATAAGTATGTCGTGTAAGACTAGAGATGATCTTCACGACCATAATTACGTCTTTATAAATAAGGATCAAGGATGTGCGGGAGTAGTTAGGATAAAACGTGCCTCGAGGAGTGGTAAAAGATGCTTATACTTGAGAAACGATGCGTTTTTCGCAATAAACTTTCAGTTCATTTACTTAAGCAACAAAGACGCTAAGTTAAGTGCCAGGTGTTTGTCATCAAATGATCAAAGGATCAGACCTTTTAAAGCCAGCTGTTAACATTGGCGTTTAAATACTTGATATTGCATGTTGTGCATCTTAGCCGAAAAGCTCTTTAACTTCTATTTTTAGTTTATTCAATATATATATAAGTAAGGGAAAACAAATAAGTTAAATGCATGGGCTTCACCCACAACTGCATGCATGAATAAGTGCAAATACAAATGACTGCATGCATGAATTTATATATATATTTTTCACTGGAAATTTTTTAAATCATACATAGTATGATTGAAATATAATACATCCAGTACTTTTTCCGTACTATAACCGTGGAAATTAGCCGGTATAGATATTGCATGTGGCTAAACTTTTATCATGATTATTTTCAGCTATCATCCATATGCTATTTTCGTAATATGAATTTAAAAAAAAATATTTCAAAAAAGTAGTTCCGAATCCTTCGTCTACCGCTCTCTTTTGTATCTAGCACGGTAGCCCAATCGCAGTCATGCACGCCGTAAAATACTGATGCAATATGAAAACTACAGTATAAACAAAAATACAACACTGCGGCTGCGGTTCGGTTGAGGTTAGGTCTTGCATGGTTTGGTCGCGGTCGACCGATAGAGACCGCAGATGACCGGAAGGGGGAATCGAAATAGGTACGTACAGCGCAAATGTTGCATGGCAAATGAAAATTTGTGACATGCATGGCAGTCAGGAGCGTAACTAGAGCGATAATTGGGGGGGGGGTGAATATTCATATATTCAGTTATGCCCGACGGATTTCTATTGTAAGCTATTGCAATTACAAAAGAAATCCGTAGGGCGGAACTGGATATATGAATATTCACCCGCCCCCCAATTATCGTTCTAGTTGCGCGACTGATGCCAGTGCTTATTGGTGATCTATGAAGATTTTGGTACGACTGTCTTAAAGTTGTTTTATGCCTTCATGTTACGTCATGATGTTAGCGAAGATCTTGCGTACATCCAGGCTCATTGCTTATTCAGGTGGTGTTGCTGCTATATGTGTGTAGTTTGAGTTTTACTGACAGAAAATGATGACAATTACTACATTTATGAAAAATTAAGTAAATATATCAAAAGACATCCTTGAATCCAGCATTTTATGACACTACAAAGATTTGAGAGAGACTAAGATAAACAGAGTAGAAATTATACCAGAAGCCTTACTCTGTGCATTTTCTTACTACGCCATTCTACGCCATCCTGGTGTGTGCAGGAACTTTGTACCCCCGTATGAAAAAGTTCCTGCACACACCAGGATTGCATGAGAAAGACACAAATTGGATACTAAGCGCCATAGTGTCTGCGTGTGCTCGCGTATTTGGCTTGCGTTAGGCCTGTCTCAGACGTGAAACTTTTCATGTGGCCGCGAATCAAATGCAACTGCCAGGGTGATGCTGTTCGATTTTAAAAAAGGCTTTTGACTTGATTGACCCTCACTTATTACTCCAGAAATTAAAAACGTACGATCTACCCCAATGCAATGGACAATTGACTGGATTAAAGATTTCTTGAGCTGCAGAAAACAGCGGGTCAAATTCAATCAAGATTGTTATTCTGAATGGGAACCAGTTACAGCAGGTGTCCCCCAAGGAACGAAACTCGGCCATTACTATTCACAAATTAATGATATTATTGAAGTTATATATTTTTATTTAACTTAGCTACATAGCTATATGTTCAAAACAAACATACTGAAATTTTTAAACATTTATCACGGTATAATCCAAATGGTTAACTGAAATTGTTTAAATTCCTTTCATCTTTATGATAATCATCTTTTCCGGCACCAAGGATTCAAACTAATTCCTGTAATGCGCCACGCAGCGGCCTCCAACTTTCCTGCAAAACACCTTCTCGCTCTCCTTCAAGTGTGACTTGACGCTCCGGATGACGCACATCGTATCATCATAAGAATCAGCAGTGCATAATGTATACGCACGTTTTTGAAGTACAAAATCTCTGTTGAAATATGTACATTGTATAATATTTTTTTTTTACTATGCACTTGTCAAATTGCTTAAATTGCAAAAGGCAATATTTAAATTTTAAATTTATACACATTTATATTTCATAGGTACAGTAATAATTATAGTGGCTAAAATATAGTGCTCTAATCAAGTCAATTATGAAAATCGATGACTACGAACAATGTCAAAAACACTATTCAGGGGGAGATTAAGTAGATGATAATATACGAGCATACCCGTTTCCGACACCATTCCCATCGTCAGCATTCAAAAACCTTTCATAGACTCGGTTTTCAGCATCTGTGAGTAGAATGATGCAGGTGACAACAAGCAGACTGATCTAAAATAAACATGAAAAACCATTTAAATGTTTTAAATTTCCTTTTGCTTAAGTTATAACCTTCCATCATTTTTTTCTGTAAGACCGATATTAAATTTTATTTGGAGGCACTCCATGCACTGATAAATTACCAGATGAATGAACAATAATGTTTAAGCTGAAATTCGTACACATATATGGCATTAAAATCTGTATGCAGCAATCATGAGCGTTTCGGTAGAGGAATTCATCCTGACCTGTAAACGTTTTTGAAACATTAATTTGATACGCGCGTGCTATTTGTTAATTGAGTTCCACCAAAAAGCAATGACAAGCAGATATATTCAGACTTATCGCAAACCTCAAAATGACTTCTTAATACGATTATATTCGGCACTAAATAATTATACCATGCAAAACAAATCAATTAACGGTAAATACCTTGAACATCTTTTAGATTTTGTATTGAATGTCTTCTCCTTTTCTTAGCGTGAAGTGAGCAGCAGTCTTCGTTGAAATGAAACTAATGGATGAGACGTGCTCTTTTATGATCCGAAAGATGTGTGGTTGCACCTGCAGACGTCAAATTCCACGGCAATTGCGCAAATAAAGCAAGAGATCCTTGTGTGCCATCACTATTTTATGAAGTGTTCTGTCAATGTGCACCAGAAAACGTCAAAAATGCACTTTGAGGAAAACAGGGTGCACGTGCGCATGTAAATAATTAATACATTATGAAGCTGAAAAGAACAAAATTATATGTGGGATCCTACCTCTTCCAGAGAATATATTATGTCATAATTATATCCGGCACAAAGGGAATGCCTCCCCCCCCGGCTCCGCCGTTCCTGGCACAATGGCGAGGTTTAATTTAAATACGTGGTCTTTAACGGCTAATAGCCTTAATCAATAACCAGTGCGACTGTGCGAGCACAATGGCTCCGTTTCAGGCTCCATTTCGAGTATTAAATTGAGTTTTTTGATAGGGTATTAATTGGGGGTAAGAATACATTTAATACATGTAGATTCTGATTCTATTTTTATAACAGCATCGCTGCTATTTCGCCGTTTAAAGATGTCAGTGGTCGTGTATGGTGCGTTGACACGTCGCACACGATTGAAGAATACGACCAAACACAGCGCGAATCATTTACATTAATTCGTGAGCACATTACACATATTACACGCTGATATGAGCTTTATAAGGTTATCATAATTTATATGAACAAAAGCTTTTAGTATAAGCGCGAATTCCAAAATGCAAGAATTCCAAACTGCGATGTGCTTCTGAATGTCGGACAACATTTAGGTTCACAACGCTCAGTCTGTACTTATAAAGCACAGCGTGCTCAGTGGCAGTGCTGTCTGAATACCGAACAACATTTAGGTTCCCAAGGCTTCTAAATGAGTTTGAACTGTAGTGTTTATGAACTGTAGTGTTCAATGGTTTATTTTAATATGTAGTTTTGTCACTTCTGTGAACATTGCTGGATGATCTTCTTCAGAGTACTGCTAACCCCCCCTCAAATAAAATCAGGAAGTTCCCTGCTACCTGTTAGCCCTCAAAAAATCAGGTCTGCACTCAACATTGAGGCCACGTTTACACTGTACCGTTTTCATAGAGTCCTCACGTTGTTTTCAATTCTCTGAAGAAAGGAAAACAAGACTAATCCTACTGAACAATATGAAAACGGTACAGTGAAAACGAGGCCTGAGATGTGGCGGAAATATAGTCCTGTGTGTACAGTAACCAACATTAGATTGATTTTTGAATTCGTTGTGCATCAATTCTTTAAATACCGTAAACTGATTTGATATGTACATTTAGGGTTGGCGTCGCCAATGTATGTTATGTATATGTTTAATACCCCAGAAGTTTCCTCGTGTATAGACATACAATCTGCGCTTTGATTTTTCAAAACATAAATCGACTTAACAGTAAGTTGAGTTTGGTAGTACAACCTGTTCGAAGTACAATACAGTAACGTGTAGATTCATATTTTCCAGAGAGAAAATTCAGTGTATTAAAAAGACAATGAAAAATGGCCAAATTTGGCGTTTCGGAAATACAAAGTCAACATTCAATTAGCAGGGGACTGCCGTGGTAGCAATGAGCATTTTGGGATACCTATCCCTAAAAAAACACAAGTAGCCAGAAAAATATCCATAAGTTGTCCTGTAGTTATCTATATCTTATCCATAGATGGACATGTCTCGTACCCTGAGATCCCATGGCGAAAACTGTGTTTTGTGTCGACGAAAAAAAATATTAGCAATTTAAGACACTGGCCCTATCGGCCAGTGTAATAAAACGGGCGTTAAAACGTACAAAATAAAAATAGTCATCATAATTCTATTTTTTGCAATTTTTTATGATTGTGAAAAGGTCTAATAACTATTACACGATAATCTAAAATTTACTAAGAGTGTTTAATTACATTCTACACTTCATTCGCGATTATATCATCATTTTTCATCATCAATAACGGAAGGAGAGAAACCAGCCTCAAGAATTGTGGAATTCTGGAATGCATCTTTTATTTTTAGTATTTTTTATACATCTCAACTTTAATGTCTTCCCAAGACCATTGTCATTATTGTATTTATTAATACCCACCAAATAGCTTTGAAATAGGTTTGTAAGGTTACTGCAGTCTGGCTTGCAGATTGGAAGATATCCCCGCTTATGTAGTGCATCAACTCTGCAAAAATGTTGATAAAGGTTAATCCATAAACAATTCCACAGAAAGATTTATCACATCAAAGCATTGTCATTGCAAACGCATGAGAGTGATTAGACACCAAAGTTGTTCACTGTTGCGTAATGGAGGTTCAGTATATACGCGGGAAAAGCATATTAAGAGAAATTAACTATATATATAGGCATAGAAGAATATAGGAATATGGTCCCCCTCAATTAACGTTCGATTGACGCCACTGCCAACTACAAGCGACATCATCAGACTAAATTCAGTTTAGCTATTTTATCTATTATTCTATCTATTAGTACATTTAAATTTAAGCATAAACAATAAACTATACAATTACAAACAGTTAAGAGTTAAGAGTTAAAATTAGCTATATATAAATTTCATGGTACACTAAACGTCTATTTAACAAGTAGATAACATCATGGATAATAACTATCCATGATAACATTGAAGCGTTGTCTGCATGTTCAATTATAGATACACGGATGGCGTCATTTGTGATAAGAAGAAAACTCAGTGGCCACGAGCCACCTGGGCGAGTAAAAAAATTAGAAAAATTCCGAAATTAAAAAGGCCAATAGTTTCCCCAATACTTGGAAAATGGTCAAAGTAGAAATTTCGCAAATATCACGCGCACATGATCTGTAGGATTGACGAAATGCTATTGGCTAGCTTAATGTGATTGGCTGATAAAATAAAACAAGATATTACTGATCAAATTCGCTAAAATTTTCTGTGACGTCATTCCGTGCGTCTGTCCTCTTATAGATCATGGCTCTCGACCAAAGAAATTGCTTGAATTCTTAACGTTATTATACAAATAATTATATACAAGTCCCTACTTCTTTATATACGCCCCTATATACTTATATCTCGTGTTTGCATAGCCGGACAAAATCGCAAGGTTTTCATATGGGGATTATTCTTGACAGGCACATCATATTATTCTTGAGTGCACATCAAGTAGCTATACTATAGTGATACATGTACAATTCTTCGCCATGGCAAACTAAACAAAGTAATCTCATGAGCTGGAGAGACCTAAGTCTTTATTCAATACTTTAAATGTTTAAATGGGTCAACACCTTATTATCCCCAAGCCGGCGCGGAGCGCCGTGCGAGGGTACAAATCCCGCCCGGAGATTAGGGGTTACACCCGGGTATTGTGACAGAACATAGCGAAATCCAAAGTTGTCCAAATTCTATGTCATGGACCGTAAAACATCAGCAACTTAAATGTCATTTTTTGCAGACTACTTTTTTTAAAAAAATGTTTCGTAAACACAATATGAAATGCAGATCAAATAAAATAATATAAAAACTGGAAAAAGATTAAAATATGATCAGAACTGGGGGAGGTTAAGCCGTGGACAACTCGTACTAATGGTCAGGTAAGAATGCATTTTATGAGCTTGGTATGTCGTTTTGCAAAGATCGACTGCAATCTCTGCATGATTTCAATAATCGAAAAACAGCATTCGACGTTTAGGGTTTGGAGATTTGAATTATTTTTGCTGTTTTGAAGGTTTAGCTATAGTGAAGTATAAAAACGAAGTCTATATGACAATAATTTCATGCAACGTAATGCAGTAGGTAAACGGTGATTTTATTTCACCTTCACGACTGTGTTTGTTTCCGAAAAATGTGAAGCATCAGCTATTATATTGAGGTTTGGCCTGCTCAGGAAAAAATCTGCTTCGTTTGAAGCAGATTTTGGGGGGCTGCTGCATTTTGGGGGGATTTGAGGGGCTGCTGCATGCATGTATTTCTATCAGGTGTCCCAGAAAAAAGTACTCCGGTTTGATTCATAACAGCTTCTAGCTAAACTAGCTAAGCTATTAAACTGAAATAACTTTCACTAGATAGAGGGAAGACTAACTTAGATTTTGATTTATTACAGTTGTGTTTTACTTAAAAATTTACGGAGATATCAATGTTCAATGGTAGCATATTAATTTTCTGGATGTGTCTAAATTATGCAAAAAACGCCGTATCAAATATTAATCAAGCTTTTCTCAACTGAAACGTGCACTATTAGCAGTAAATAAATGACACTTGACAAATTGTTTATTATATGAAACGAAGTATTATTATTTAATGAAGAAAAGATTACAGCCTTTTTGTAATTACACATAATTTATAACAGTATCAGCGCTATTGTTTTCGTTACGTTTTGTTCAAAAAATGTTGGATGCATGTCCCTGGGGAGTTGCATGTTGTGCCTTATGGAATTATGGTTTGAATGTGTTTTATTTGAGTTTATCCTGAATATGCGAAGATTAAGTAAAGATCAAAGAGTACGGGTGTGTTTATTTACTGCTAATAGTGCATGCTTCAGTTGAGAAAAGTTTGATTAATATTTGACACGGCGTTTTTTGCATAATTCAGTCACGCGCATGCGCAAACGTAACAATCGTCCAAAATGTGACAACATTGGAAGTAGCGAGTACCGTTTTGGAGTTGAAATTGGAAGTGGATAGGTAGGCGAAGTACCGAATTATATTTACTGTGTTATTATCATTTTCTGCAGTAGTTTTCTAATAATATTATTTAGTTTTTAGTTGTATAATGTTTCTGCTTTGTTTGGTGAGAGTTAAGGATTGTGATTAGAGTTTTTGATGTGAATATAGCCGCTATACTCCGCCATGTTTATTTACTTCTTACGAAAGTCACAATCTTAACGCTTTAAAATTTCCACCCTGCCAAACTGTAATACGTCATGTATTTTCGTATCGGTACTGGTAGTGGAAGTAGATCTTAACCTCCCTATTATTATGACTGGCCGCGGCAATCAGCAATATCGATGTCATTGTTTTTGAACTACTCGAGTAAGGTTTCAGCTAGACTAGTGCTTTTGCGCCGTGTCCTCGTATGTCAAGGAGGGTTAAAAATCGTTCGACAAGACCAGAGGGCAAAACATATATATCGAAAAATGCATGGCAGTTGGTCAACGTGGGAAATATCAGGGATATAGAGTCTACAGGCAACAGAGGCAGAGAAATACTTCTCAGCCTTAACCTCTGTAAAGATATGCTATACACGGGTTGCCATTAGGTGGATGAATTCCTCACAGATGTTCTTTTAAAGGTAGGATGTGTTACCCTTCCCCTTGTTTGCGTTACGGTTGATGGGTTGCGCTAGAAATGTATGGGCCAGGGATAGTTCTAATATTCCTAAAAGTAATTGCCGTTTTTTAGCGATCCAAACGATCTCATCAGAACCACGAGTTTACAAGCTACGACGCGTTAGCTCGACGTCGCTATAGTCAATTATTTCGCTAGAAATAAGCTACGGGCAATTAATTATGCTACCAGGACTATGACATAAACATACAACGTACTAATAACCTCCGATATCTAGCTGATATTGCAATTTCATATAAGCTATCAAACAGCTATCACAATGTCGCACCTTTCATGTCATCTGGAGAGGCCGTGAAAATGGCTCATTTGAAAGCGTCGTGGGACCACGAATTATGCATACCTATTGTCTCGCTTGTGGAGTTTCTCTGTTTTGCGATCTGGCTGCGTCGTGAATCGTAAACTCCTTAATTATTAACAGCATTACGGTTCGCTGAAAAACCGAGCCCATTTAGCTACCTACGGTAGCTCGAGTAATTAGAATTTTTCAAAATGACCACAAAATGAAGAGGTCGAAAGACGAAACATGTATAGTCGCATAGTTTATATTTTATTTCTTTAACTAAGATTTTAATTAATTCAAACATTCACTAACTAACATTATAATTTTTCATCAATCATTTCAAATGTAGAAAGCTAAACATACAGAATCGAACATGAAAATGAAAATATGGTTTGATATTTGCCGATTAATATTAAAATTGTACGACAAAACTCGCTTTTATTCAACATTATATGTTTAAGTGAGTCGATAGCTTTATATCATAATTATTATTCAAAAACAAATAATCACATGAAAGTGCATGAAAGAACCTTGCTTTCGATGACTTTGGACTCCGCTATATGTTCTGTCACAATTTTCGTGTGTAACTGCTGATCTCAGCATGGACGGAATATATTAGTATAATAATATATGCTGCAACTCTGCTTTTCTGCGCCATAATAATATAAATTATAATATACCTGTACATCATAGTATTCTCGTTGTTGTAATTCCAAAAGGATTTATGGAACTTTCTTGGATACGTAAACGCATGCAATTGTAGGCATACAATTGCGGCAACAATTACACAGAGCTAAAAAATGCATAACATAAAAGTTAATTCTAATATTCAAACTTAAGCAAAATAAATATATTCATCCGGCACATGCAACAGTGGTAGCTATATACTAAAGCGTATTCTCCATTGTGATGCCAAATACAAATTGTTGAAACATGTTTCTCTTAGCTTTGAGTAGTTTAAAACCTCCCTATTCAATATAAAGGAAAATCTTTTGACATCTTGAGAAACGGCCTTGTTTTCTGCCTTTTAACTACAGCATGCACATGCAATTGTCGCGTTTAGCAGAACGCTATATGATGCTAAATTTAATAAGCATAAATTTCAGTCCGTCCTAACTCGAAATACGAACAAGTTGAAAAAAAATTAAACACGCAAGGGTCCATAAGATGTATAAAAAATGAAGTGATATACATATCTATTTGCCCTCGTAAAATCTATTGTCTTTCAACTTTCCATCATGCACTTTCAACCACTCTAGTTTTATCGACATAATATCTATAACCTTGTTCTATCGTAAAAATCCTAAAAACTCTAGAGAATTACTTGATTAAAATTAAGCACAGCTTTTCAATTAGACGAAATTTTCGTTTGATTCTATTTTATTTCATTTTTTTACTCAGTATAGATGAAATTTACAAACACGAGACTCCGGAAAAACTAAACATATGTAGCTACTTTTTGGACGCATATATAAAAATACTTTGCTTTACGAAGGCTCATTCGACCATAAGCAGTTAAGCACGTAAAGCAGGTAGCTATACCTTAAACATCTCTTATCTTCTTCAGC